AATTCCTTTAGTGTCTTTTGGCAAAGTCTCTTGTTCTCCATGTCTGTCTGAGCCTCTTTCTTCTTCCTTTGACTCTGCCTCACTGGAATTTCTTTGTTCTGCAACCATCGCCATTATTTTCTTTTCCAGTATTTCCAATAATTCCCTTCTTTCTTTGAACATTCCTTTTACCATTTGTAACTCCAACTTAAAGTCTTTGCTTATTTCTTCCATTTTTATAATAAATTGTTAATATTCAAAGTCTTTTGTTGCAATCCTTGCCAAAAGTCTCCTTTTATCTTTATTTCTTTTGTTAATCCTTCTGTCTCTTTGTCACAATCAACACCCAACAGTCCCAGGAAGTTGCATCTATATCCTCTTGGTAGAATTTCCCCCCCTTTTTCCCAAATTTCCGGGGTTCTTATTATTTTATTTGTCTTTTATTCCATAACAATTAGAAGTCCAGTAAATTTCCATATAATTTTGTAGGGGAAAAAAGTATTTGACCATTAGATGGTGCTCTGTATCACGTTCCACTTTTTAAAGTTCTTTTCTTTTCTCTTTTAATTATATTAAACATTAATTTCCAACCATTTCCACAATTAATTTTCTTAGTATTAACCAATTCCAGGCAAGTCCAGCATTTAATCCAATGCCTAATTAATGCCAGTTTATATTATTCAGAGTTTAGTCTCTGATTCCATTGTAGCTATTTATAAACCAATTTCGTTTACCTTGTATTTTCCTCTTTTTTTTTTCCTGTTCGCCGCTGTGTTACTCTTACGCGAGGGCACTTTCTTTCTACTTCTTGGGGTTGTTAAGAAAAAAATCAAGTTCTTTATCTGGTTACACGTCTCTCACCACTTCACCGCTCCAGCGCAAAACTTAAATCCTGGCAGCTTTCCATCTTCAGGGCAGCCACAGGTTTGGGGAATCTTGCATGTGTAAAGGATTTCCATATCCTGGGGGCATTTCTAATGGTTTTGATCAGTGGTGGGATTCAATTTTGTTTACTACTGGTTCTGTGGGCGTGGCTTGGTAGGCGTGGTAGGTTTTGAGGATGTTTCGCAGGTGGAGGCGGATAATGCTGTTGGAGGGGCTGGCGTGGTGCCTGAGTAGCCCTCAATTCAGTTGGACGATAATGTGGTGTCTTTGGAAAGTGGACAAACAGATAACGCAAGATGTGAAGAGGATCCTCAGCCTGTGGTACGGCCGATGTGGTTTCGCTGGGAATTGTGCATGATATAGCCGGATAAGGTCCGGGGCATGCACCTTGGACGCATCCTCCTAGGAACGAATCTCTGTTTCATTTTCCAGCCTCCCTATGAAGTACTGAAATCGTCCCTTCAGCCATCGTGAATCGTAAATGCCAACCACCGTGGTATCAACAACAGGATCAGCGCTGGGCCCAGATGGAGGACCCGTATCGTCGGAAGAACGGAGAGTACACGATGGGGTGTCAGGTACCAAAAGGGAGTGGTGGAAGACAGGGTGAATGCGCATGGAGCGTGGTAGGGTGAGCCGATAAGCCACGGGATTGATAACCGCCTCGATAGGGAAGGGACCAATAAAGCGATGATCCAACTTCCTAATCGGACGATCGACCCGGAGATGCTTCGTGGACAACCACACCTTGTCTCCCACAGCCAGCAGAGGCGTCGCCCGACGTGAACGATCCGGGAAACGTTTATAGTCTGCTTTCGCTCGTTCCAATTGTCTGGAAATCAATTGGTGCACCACATGTAATTCAGACAAAAAGTCTCGTGTCTCTGGAACCGGAGAATCCAAGATCGACAGGGGGAAAAACCTCGGATGGTAACCCACATTTGCGTAAAAAGGCATCATGTGGGTGGAGGTGTGCTGAGAATTGTTAAAAGCAAACTCTGCCAATGGAAGATAGGTCACCCAGTCGTTTTGCCGTTGATTAACAAAACATCTGAGGTATTGGGCGAGGATGCCAATTACTTTCTCAGTCCCGCCATCGGTTTCCGGATGGTGCGCCGACGCTAAACATACTTGCACCCGTAATGCATTCATTAGGGTCTTCCAGAATTGAGCGGTGAACTGGACACTGCGATCTGAAACAACTCTGTCCGGTAAGCCATGCAAACGGAATACATGTTGTATAAAAAGCCGGGCAGTAACACGAGCCGATGGTAACCTTCTACATGGGATGAAATGGGCCATCTTGGTGAGCATGTGAACCACCACAAGTACCGTCGTATAACCCAATGATGAGGGCAAGTGTGTTAAAAAGTCCATGGAGATTGCCCCCCAGGGTCGGTTCGGAGTCGGTAGTGGTTGAAGAAGGCCAGGAGGCGCACCTGATGCAGCTTTTGCTTCCCGACACGGTATACAAGAGGCAACATAAGCGAAGATGTCATGCCGGACTCTAGGCCACCAAAAAGTCCTTGTGACCAGATGAAGGGTTTTGAAGAACCCAAAATGACCCGCAGTTGGGTTGTCATGACATTGGGTCATGATGAGTGCTCTAAGTGTTTTGGTGGGCACGTACAATCGACCCCGATATCGTAATAAACCCTCCTCCAGAGTCCATGGAGAATCAGGACCAATTTCCCCCATTCGTTGCTGCGACCAATCGTCCAAACACTGCGTCTCTCGTACGCGAGCCCTCAAATCCACCGGTTCCTGGATCACGGCCAAAGATTCTGGTGGTAGCACCGTACGAGAAGGAAGAGGTTCTTCAGGACACAGATATTCCGGTTTACGGGATAGGGCATCGGCTCTTTTATTTTGACCACTGGGGATGTACATGACCGAAAAATTGAACCTAGCGAAGAACAATGACCACCGGATCTGTCGTTGGTTCAATTTCCGAGCAGTGGTCAAGTGCTCCAGATTACAGTGATCTGTCCGAACCTCCACCTTGTGCCGAGCCCCATCAAGGTGATGTCGCCAGACCTCAAACGCAGTCTTGATGGCCAGCAACTCTTTCTCCCAGATTGTATAATTACGCTCGGAAGTAGTAAGTTTCCTTGAATAATATGCGCATGGAAAAAGAGGTGCGCCATCCGCTGGGGCTTGTAACAACACCGCCCCAATAGCCACGTTGGATGCATCCGTCTCCATCACAAATGGACGATGGGGGTCGGGATGCCTCAAGATTGGTTCCGCAACAAAGGCTTTCTTGATGGCCTCAAAGGCCTGTTGCTGTGGGGGTCCCCACTGGAATGGAACCTTCTTGCGAAGGAGCTGGGTGATGGGATCCGTCAGTTTGGCAAAACCAGGGATGAAGGATCTGTAATAATTAGCGAACCCCAAGAGACGTTGCACATCTTTTACTCGACGAGGGGGTTCCCAACTACACAGAGCCTCCACCTTATGCGGCTCCATGGCAATGCCTTCGGGAGAAATGATATGTCCCAAGAACTCTGGAAGTCTGGAAAAATAAGCACTTCTTCAGTTTCGCATAGAGTCTATGCTCCCGAAGACGTTGTAATACCTGGTGAACTTGGCGAAGGTGGCTTTCCCTGGAATTGGAATAGATCAAAATTTCGTCCAAGTACATCACCATGAACCGATCAAGCATGTCCCTAAAAATATCATTCATGAAATGTTGAAAGACCGCGGGGGCGTTGGTCAATCCAAAAGGCATTACAATATATTCGAAGTGGCCGTATCTAGTACTAAACGCCGTCTTCCACTTGTCTCCTTTGCGCATCCGCACCAGGTTGTAAGCCCCTCGAAGATCGAGCTTGGTGAAAATAGTGGCCTCAATACAATGTGTCTAGAGATGAAGTTATTCAGCCCATGATCTCTGTAGGAACGTCAACCGAACAAATTTAGATGTTGACCACAAAAGAGATAACCAAAAAGGAATTACAAGAGGCTACAAAAATGGACGTATGGATAAAAACAAATAATACTGCCTGTTTATATAAAGATGGATTGTATTGGAGAGGGGATAAAATATATGTTCCATCAAATTGTAGGAAAAGATATTATCCCAATGTCATGATGTAAGGCAGGTTGGACACTTTGGATTTTTAAAAACGCTACATTTGGTAAGGCGGCAGTTTTGGTGGCCACATATGAGATCAGAAATTGAACAGTACATTAAAGAATGCCACGTTTGTATTACTACGAAACCTCGAGTAGGAAAACCTTTAGGACTATTACAAACTGTATCGGATCCAAACCGTCCGTGGCAAGATATAGCCATGGACTTTATTGTGGAGTTGCCCAGCAGTAACGGATATACAGTAATCTGGACTATCATAGACTTGTTTTCAAAACAAGCTCACTTTATACCATGTAAAGGATTACCTTTGGCAACAAAATTAGCAAACCTGTTTATAAAACATGTATATAGACTACATGGCACACCCAGTAGGATAATTTCAGATAGAGGTGTGCAATTCACGGCACGATTTTGGAGAGCGTTTGTATGCCTTTTAGGATGCTCTCAAGGTCTTAGCTCTACATACCATCCCAGCAACAATGGCGCTGCTGAAAGAGCTAATGCAATGATTGAAAGATATTTGAGATCATATACATCTTATCAACAGCGAGAATGGGCTGATTTGCTTCCATTTGCTGAAGTAACATATAACAATGCTATACATGAAAGCACAGGATATAGCCCATTCCAGGTAGTAAATGGGATAGAATTTGTGCCAATCCCTGATTTACAATGTGACCAACAACAACCCATAAGTGTCCAAATGTGGTTGAAAAAAGTTCAGGATAGTTGGGATAAAGTAAAAGAGACTCTCAATAAAACAGCACTAGAATATAAACATCAAGCAGACAAGAAAAGAAAAGAGTATAAAACATTCAAACCTGGAGACTATGTTTACCTATCAACTAAATATATAAAATTACACCTAAATAGTCGAAAATTGGGACCAAAATATATTGGACCTTTCCAAATTACGAAAGTGATAAACCCTGTAACTGTGAAACTTAAATTGCCACCACGGTTACATCGAATACATCCTGTGTTTCATGCTAGTTTACTGAAGCCTGTAGAACACATTGATATACCTCAACTTGAGGAATCTGTAACAGCTAAAGATGTAACCCATGCTGAAATTGATAAAATTCTAGATTCGCGGATATGTAGAAAAATGTTACAATACTTAGTGAGATGGAAAGGGTACCCTGAAACAGAGGCAACCTGGGTGAAAGTAGCAGATGTGTGTGCAAATAGACTGATAAGGCAATTCCATACCAAATATCCCGATAAACCTGGACCACAAGTAGAGAAATACTTAGTGATATAATGTATATTGTTTTATAGACTGGTTCCTGGTAGAGGGGGACGCATGTCCCGACTACGCAACACACGTGTTTGAATCGAAGCCACAGCGACCTGAAGGATGGCATTCCTCTTCATCAGAATAAACTCTGTATCATAATAATATGCGCGGTCTATGTAAAATGCTGTGAGGTGAAGCTATCTATACACATTAACCACGATTCATGTGATTGAGTTCATACGAATAATTATCATTAATAACAGTAATCATGGGTAATAAGGGTAATTGGGGTAATGAAGGGTAATGAGGGGAAATTATGATAAATATTGAATCCCAGGAAACTCGGGTTAGGTCCAACTTTATTTTGTTTGCTTAGCTATTATCTTGGATGCCTTGCGGAGGAAGGAATAAACAATAAGCTTTTGTGTTACAAAATACTGAAGTGAAGAGTGTCTTATTTTCTCCCTGCATTTGTGCCAAAGAGTAGCTGAGAGCAGCATTCTTAACATCCATGTCACTCATTTCGCAACTGCAGTGCTTCACTTCACCGTGGTGACAAGATATGTCGTAAAATGTAACATGTGAGGACCAGTCATAAGTGCGAGGACCAGTCATCATTCACTTTTTTCAGCCTTCTGAGTAGTTCCTGTGCACATAGGGACTTTAGGAACTACTCAGAGGGCTGAAAAATGAATGGTGACCAGTCCTCGCACTTACAACCGGTCCTCGCATTTATGCCCGTTGCAGCATCCTCACACTCACATGATCAAAATTTGGCTGTTTGGCAATCGGCATGTATTTATGACCTTGGACTGTCCTGGGGTCATGTGATTGCCATTTGTGACCGTCCCAGAAGGCTTTCGACAAGGGGGGGTGGCTTTGATCAGGATTTCTTTGGCCTAAATTTATGCATGAGGCTTTTCCTGTCTACTTGCAAATGTTCCATTATTGATCTGACTCAGTATTTGGTGGAAGTCACAAAAGCAGAAGGACTAAGTAGAGTTTTATCTAGCTATTTTCAATCAAGTCCTCTTCAATCTTCCCTTAAGGCTTTGCTAAATGAATAAATCCTACCAACTCCCTGCCTGCCTTCTCTGTACAAACAAACCAGGTTGTTGCTCTTTACTCTGCAGAAAAGCAAGGATTCTGGAGCTTGATGTCTATGGAGATTCTCAGTCATCCAGGTCATGGTTGTTCCAAAGGTGCTTTTTTCAAGAGGCAACTGGACTTTCTGGTTTTTCTTTGAAGATGTTTTGCTTCTCATCCAAGAAGTGTCTTCAAAGAAAAACCAGAAAGTCCATTTGCCTCTTGAAAAAGCACCTTTGGGATTCTGAAGCATGATGAGATGACCAATTAAATAAAGTTTCGTTTTAAAAACTCATTGTGGGCACATTGTTTGCATTGGTGTAATTAAGAAAGCACCAACATATACTTGGTGAATTATTTGATGAGATTATTGCATGGAACACAGGGATTCCCAATATGGAAAGTGAGAATGGGAACATTTTTTTTTCAAATACACTTTATTGATTTTACAATTAAAATAGACCAACAACACATACATAAATGCAAGAGAGAAAAAGAAAACAAGAAAAAAAAGAATAGAAAGAAAAAGATAGAAAACAAAAACATTTTCATCTTCAACAGTTTGTGAGACCTCCTTTTTATCCTTATTTTATGCCATATACACAATTAATCCTTACATACAATCTGTATATCACTACTACGATTCTATCATATCTTCTTTTGCCTTTTAGTGTGAAATCTATCTTTGGTCTATCCATTTGTACCAGCAGTTCCAGCTGTCGTAATATATTGAAGTGTCTTTAATGCTAAGGTTAATTTGTCCATTTCTGCACAACTTGAAATTTTTTGAATAATCATCTCCTCTGATGGAATATGAGGCTATTTCCAACATTGTGTAAAAGCCAATCTGGCCACTGTCAAAATATGTATTATGATATATTTCACTTTTTTTGGTAGTTCTTTATCAAAGATCCCTAATAGAAAGGACTGGTTTAAATTTGATCTGTTCTCTTGTCATTTCCTCCAGCCAATTTCTAATTTTCTGCCAATATTTTTGAGCTTCTGTACAAGACCACCACATATGGAAGAAAGTTCCCTCTTTTTTTTGCATTTCCAGCAGTTCAGACTCATATTGGGGTGCATATTCGCTAATCTTGAAGGAGGAAGGTGCCACCTGTAAAACATTTTATAGGCATTTTCTTTGTACGCTACCGATTTTGTGATTTTGTTATTTCTACCCCAGACCTTTTCCCATTCTGTTAAGGTGATACTACGTCCTGTATTCCTACTCCAGGCTATCATATTCCCTTTAACAATTTCTTCCTCTAATTCTACCTCTAATAAATAATTATAAAATTTTGTTATATTTTTTTTGCCTGATCCTAATAAAATTTTATCTAATTGCTGGAGTTTATTATTAATTCCAAATTCTTTCTTGTCCTGTTTGTATCAACTTTGAATTTGAAGATATGCCCACCAATCAATTTTTAATCCCTGATCTTGAAGGACTTGCCATGATTTCAGATTTCCTTGCGTATCCAATAGGTCCTTATATTTAATCATTTTAGTAATATCCAGATTATTTGGGTGGGTCATCGCCTCCATTGTTGAGATCCAGATTGGCATCTTTAAGTAGTGTTTTTTCCGTATTTTCTTCCAATTAGTCAATAATGAATCTCTGATTAGGTGTCTGTGAAAATATTTCTGGCTAGTTTTCCCAATACCCCATAAAAAAGCATGCCACCCCCTCTGTAAGTCATGGCCTTCTAAGAGTAATATTCTCTTATTGGTTAAATTCACCCATTCCTTCAACCATACTAAAGAGGCCGCACTATAATACAACTCCCAATTTGGGAGTGCTAGCCCTCCCCTGATCTTCATATCCTGCATTGCCTTTAAGTTTATTCTAGGTTTTTTCCCTTGCCAGATGAATTTTGCAGTTATTTTGTTAAGTTCTTCAAAAAACTTTTTGTGTACTTTAATTGGAATCATCTGAAATATATAGAGGAATTTTGGAAGAATATTCATTTTAATAGCAGCAATCCTGCCTCATAATAAAAGTTGCAGTTTGCCCCATGTTTCTAAATCCTTCTTTACCTGTTGCATTAATTTATCATAATTGTTTTCCTTTAGTGTCTTACAATGTGCTGTCAACCATATTCCTAAATATTTAACTTTCTTAACTTCTAGTTCTAATTTCTGTTTTCCTGTTAAATTTTTAGTCATTAATTTCGTTTTCTGCCTATTGATTTTTAGTCCTGCTGCTGCTCCAAATTGTTCTAATTCATTCATCAATTTTTGTCCTCTTTCTATTGGTTCTTCAATGAATGCTGCTCTGTGGGCAAGGCGGCAGGCGGGGCCAGCGGGTGGCAGGTGAGGCTCGCCCACTTGCTGTCTCCTCGCAGAAGGTCCCAGAACACATTGCAAAATTCAGCTGGTGGAGAGAGAGACCTGCCCATCCAGGGCCAGCCTTGGTGGTGACCTGGCCCCTTCTTAGGCGTCACGGAGCTCACCTTTGGGCTCAGCAGGGTGACGTCTCCCCACTGGCGCTTCCCCACCCCAGAGTGCTAAGTGGCCAAATTTTCCAATGCGCTCCGGGCCTCTTGGCACTCTGGGGCGGGAAATGCAATATAGAGGCCGACACAAGGGAAATATGAGGAGCAGGGAAAAAGGAAAAGCCTCCTTCCCTCGCTCCAGCTGCTCCGTTGTTCGTTTCTCGCCATGCAGCCCCACGCCACAGAGTTTTCCTCACCCACCACCACCCAGATGCCCTCGCTTTCCCCAAATTCCCCAAGCATTTCTTTGCCTACCTGATGTGCAGCTCCATCATGTTTGTCCTTCTCTCCATTGTGTGCAGGGAAACAAAAGTTCGTGTGGGGCTGCTAAAAAATCTGCTCCAATTACAACTTTGCGTGATCTTTTTCTTTCGTGAGAAGTTGGAATTGATTGATTGAACTTTTTTTTTTTTAGCCCCAAACAAACTTTTGTTTCCCTGCACACGATGGCAAGAAACGCAGTGGAGGTAGACATCAGGTAGGCAAAGAAATGCTTGGAGAATTTGGGGAAAGTGAGGGCATCTGGGCGGTGGTGGGTGGGGAAAGTTTTTCTGCCCACAAAGAGAAGAAGAGAAGGGGGAAGAGAAGAGACAGCTGGAGGAGCTCCATCTCGCTCCACGTGCCCCAATGAAAGGCAGCGGCAGCTCAGCTGCTTCCCTTCCTTGCAAAGAAGGTAGGCAAGCATGGCGGGGCCGTGTGCTGCATGGAAGGGAGTGGGGAAAGCAGGGAAGCGCGCTGGGCCTTGGGGACCACGGGGTGACGTAGGAGGCATCTAGGCCGGGATTCGGGCCTTCCTCACCTAGGTAGATCAGGCAGCTTAGCTGGGCCACGTGGGAGGCAGCTAGGCCAAGATTCGGGCCTTTCTGCTTGCAGGCTCACCCAGGCTGCCAGGCAGATTAGGGCAGCTCAGCTGGACCACACAGGATGCAGCTAAAGATAGGCAAGCTGGCTGGCCCTCAGAGCCTGTATGATTGAGGCAAGCCAGGGAGCCAGGTGGAGAGCAGCAGCAGCTATGCTGGGTGAGCGGATGAGACGAGTGACTGGGCAGGGTGGGGGTGGACGGGACCAGCCATAATTATCACTACCGGTTCACCTGAACTGGCTAGAACCGGCTGAATCCCACCACTGGTTTTGATTGAGTTACCAGTGTCTTATCAACTTTCTATCTGTTTCATTCAAAGTGTCAAACTTGGCAGAAAGGCTCAAGTGGTTCTTTGTTTTATGACCTGGGGTTTCCTGGGTTCAGGCATGGCCAAGATTAGTGTGTGGTCTGGCTACAAGATGTCATGGAGGCTTTTACGTTCGAACAGTACAATTCCATACATTCTAATAATTGTATGTACTTATTTTAAACAGAAATTGTATGTGAGATGTGAGGCTGTTGGTCTATTTCATTGCAATAATTACAGACACCTTTTTACTGCAAGTATTTACCAGTATGCCCAAATAAAGCAAATGTTTTCCAGTATAAAAGAAAGACATGTATTCTCCTAGCAAATGGAAGATATTGGAGTGGTAAAATCCATTCTCACT